ACACACGAACTGAAAATTAGGATTGAAACTCATAAAGCGCATTAATAACACTTACCTAAGCAAATATAAGCAGAAATGGCCCATGTTAAGGCACTAACATTAGCAGATGTCTTACTGGAATAAAGTGCTTGAATGTGCACGCACTTGCTAAGGGACATCACAGGTATTCGACTCAGCTACATACATTAAAATGTTAATGATAGAGGGCATGTAAAATAGTTACTGACCAGAAGGATTGAAAAACTGTATTTGGTATGAAGTGTAGTAGTGTATAGACAAAAGGAACAAAATGACTCTGGAACAAAAATTTATAAATATAATAATAATAATTAAAATAGTAACTAACCATGTGATACATGCTTTATTTTCAAGACTGAAAGCTTTACCTCCTTTGTATAATATTACTAAAAAACAATGATGGCAGCTACAAAAAATAAAGTTATTTAAATCATTTTATTCAATCAATTCTTACATAAAATGTAAGCTCTAACTGACAATAATAAAAATATTTAGTAAAAGATGCAAAACAATGATCGAATTTTTGTCAAGGATAGGGTTTGAGTTTCCCACAGAATTTTGGCTTAGTGCTCATGCAGTCAGTCAATTTTAAAGTTCACTCAAAAATTTGACAAAATATCATATACTAATACTACAGTAAAAAGGGAAAGGGGCCCTCAATAAATTTTATTAAAAATAAAGAAAAGAAATAAAACATGTAGGTTAAGGAAAAGCAAAGCAAGGTTAAAATTAGGTTAGGCTATAAGTTAGAGACACAAAAAGAAAATGATCAGGAAATAATAAAAATAATAATAATAATAATAATAAATAATAATAATAATAAAGCTAAACATAAAAAATCATTACAGTTAAGAAATATTGATGTGGGCATCAGAGGGTATTTTTTAAAAACTGCTAGCAGAAAATTTTTCATTTTTAGATTTTAAAAATAAGTATACATGTTTTTGTGTTGTACTGTCCAGTTGGAGGAAGATAGTGATAGGTTTCTACTCTGTAATTCCCCAGATAGAGCAAAAGGAAGCCCAAGCTCAGTTAATTGAGCATAACAACCATCCAAACTCATGACATGTGGTTCTCTTTTGGGGGGGTTGGTAAAACCGGGCTCCGGAGGGGCTCGGGCACGGGAAATGGCGGGGTAAAACCGGGCTGCCCCGGACTGGGGCTTCATCTATTTTCATGGAATAAGGACTGATATGGAGCTAGTAAGGACATAGAACTTCGCATAGAACAAACTACTGAGTAACTGTGCAATTAAATGATTATATTCTTTTATTGTTAAAATTTAGGGAAGCCATGAATCCCCCTTGACTATAATGCTGGGAACAAGGCCGTTCTACTCCCATCTGTCTTCTAAGTCCACTTTAACTCTCTCATTTTTATTTCTGATTTTATTTGCTGTCATTTTTATCTTAATTCTCATTTTCCTTGA